GCCTCTCAGCTGAGTCTGGCAGCCCTCAGCCCCCCGGGGCGCAGGACAAAGCCGAGCTAACAGAGCGGCGTCGCGCAAGCGCAGAGCTCGACGGCCTCCCAGAAGACCCTGCGCGAGCGAGGCCTCCCTAGCTGGTGGACTGCGCAGACCTAGACTGTGGGGGACTTGCGAGGATAGTCTCCTCTTCTATTTTTTAAAAAATTGGATTCTAGGCACAGGAAATTACCAAGGTGCCCAGGTTGGCGTCGAAGTCGAGGGGCCACCGCGCCGGCTCCCTGTGAAACGAATGGAGCGAGTCTGGGCGGTTGGACTTGAGCACACCGCTGCGTGCAAAGAGCAATCCATCCTGTGAATGAGGGCTTTTATCCTAGTGACAACCTCTAAATTTGTGCAAGTGATAGCCGAGACATGTGATAAGCCAAAACAGGTGAGTGCCACACATACCACTCCCCCACCAAAAAAAGCTTGATATAAGGTATGCAGGCTTCTCAGAGTTTTACACAAATCTCATCTTACTGGTATGTATAGAAGTGCATGACTATTACTTCACTAAGGAAGATATATGGAATAAATTATGGTTAATAAATTCATGACTTCGGTTTACTCTGTGCCAACTGTACAAATGGGTTTCTATTCAAAATGGCCATGGAAATATTAAAGTTTTCACAGAATTTAAAACATGTAGAAGCTGTAACATACGTGTAGATATGTGCGTACATACTGCATTCTGGGTAGCAGTTACAGAAATAATTAAATATAATCCCTTCTTCCAACCAAGAAAATTCCATTCACAGATGGAGGAAAGAAAAAAACAATTTTATTATTGAGCAGACATTAAATCAGACTGCCATGTACATCAGTGACAATCCACTAATGACTTTACAAAGAAGGAATATCACATTTTTACATTGCCAGGCAAATACAATCCATTACATATTCCCTAGATGAGACAGTCAAGTAAGACTACCTTACATCACCATTTGTTACCGTAATTCATCAAAAAATCACCTGGTATTGTGGGGTATCCATCTGTGTTAATTGCCTTTTCTAAATGAAAAGTGAAGCTTTTAAAATTAATCTTTTGACAAGCTGGACAGTAGTTACAATATGTAGCCGGGCACCTAAGTGTTTCCCAAAGAGGAAGAGTGAGTACCATCTTCCTTGATACTTATCTTCCAAGTACATGGCCTCAAGCTATTAAGAACGATCTTCCTGGGGCTGGAAAGACTTGAAGCATAACTGTAATCCCAGCACTTGGGAGGCTGAAGCAGTAGTTTAAGGTAGCCTGACCTATATAGCAAGATCCTGTCCAAAGAAAAAGAATAAGGGTGTCTGTGGCTCAGTAATATAGCTTTGCTTAGAACAGTCGTGGCAAATCTATGGTACACGTGCCACAGCTGGTACACAGAGTCCTCTGTCAGCACATAAGCCGAGTTGTCCCAGCATCTCCCAGCAGTAGAGCATTGGATATTCAGGTATAATTGCAGTGTTAGCACTTTGTGATAAATAAGTGGGTTTGGGGTTGCAGTTTGGGCACTCAGTCTCAAAAAGTTTCACTATTATTATAGGCATCTAAATTAGGTAGAGATATAGGCAGTGAGGTAAAGCCAGACCCTCAGGGGGATCAAGACAAAGGGGAAACACATCACAACTATGACCAGAGACATGTGTTGGAAACCAGGCATCAAGATAAAGACAAAATGACCAGGCCTACATACTTCCTAAAAAGACAAATATTGGGGCCTTAATGAAGGCTAGATAGACAACAGTCACCCTAGTGGGTGACCAAAACCTCCAGACCCATCATTTCCTAGAAAAAGTCTTTGTTCTTTCCATGAATTATTTCCCCATTGGATTACTAGTACCTAAGCGACTATACTTATAACCTTATTGTTAATAATACCTGTAACCCATGTTGTATCCATGTGGGTTTTGCTCTGTAAAACTTCCCTGTAATGTGGGGCCCCCATCTACCAGCTTGGGTCCCCTCCTGCTTCTCAGGAGCTATCTTTTCAATAAATATTTTCCTATTCTTAACCTCCACTGTTCCTAGAATTCATTCTTCGATTTTAGAGACCATAATCTTGGCATATCAGACACCTAACAGGTTGGGAGATATAATGTTTTCACATTTCATCTTCTGTATCATTGTCACTGGCCTAGAATATGCAAAGCCCTAGGTTTGATTCCCAGCACTGAAAAATAAAAATTGCTATTGTCTTAGCAATAGGTTTTTACTTCTTAAAAAGATTTATGAAGTCTCAAAGAATTAGAATTACAAGTTTTAGAATTACACATTTTCTCAAGTTTTAAGGAAAAGAAAAAGGGGTATATTGGTCAGCTTTTGTCCCTGGGACAAAATACTCAACACCCACAGTTTAGAGAGGAGAGGTTTCAGAAGTTTAAATCATGGTCAGTGGGTTCCAAGGCAGAAACTTCATGGCAAATAGGCCTGTCAGAGGAAAGCTGCAGGGCTGGGGATTTAGCTCAATGGTTCTGCTGCCTGCCTCTTAAGCGCTAGGTCCTGAGTTTGATATCTGGTACTAAAAAAAAAAAAAAGAAAGAAAAATAGAACAGAGGAAAGCTGCATACTTCATGGGAACCTGGATACAGAGAAATAAAGAGCCAGAAAGAAAGGGGCTAGGCTGCGCTGGAGATTTAGCTAAATGGATCTACACCCTGCTTCGAAAGTGCAAGGTTCTGAGTTCCATCTGGTACCAAAAAAAAAAAAAAAAAAAAAAAAAGAGGAAAGAAAGGGGCTAGAGACCAGATTTAGTCCCCAAGGTCATGTGGCCATGACCCACCCAGACATACCCAGTAAAAACTTATCTAGGCATCTCTCAATCTAACGTCAACAATGAAAACTATCAAAAGTGAGAAAATTTCCCTTGCAAAAGGGAAAGTTTAATTTTGTATTTATTCTTATGTAACAATTTTTATTCCTTGTTCTGAGGCAATGAAGATTGGGTTGGGGAATGATGGAATGCATGTTTATTAGGAAGAATTAAAAAAAAAAAGAAAAGTTGACCCTCCCACCCCCCAGTTGGGGAGAGGTTCCAAAGGTGGACACCTCAAATGTTTAAGTCCAGGTGCTTTATGCAGTTTCTGGTACAGGTGACTGTGACAGAACACACGGATGCCACTAGTTGCTGCTAGTTGCTGCCACGCCTTTCAGGTCCAGAAAGCAGGCTGACTTGTTTACATTTCAGTTCTTCAAGGCTTTTTCCAGTTTACTCAGGGACCCGTTCTTTGTACTTTGCCTTCCAATGAGGCCCTAATAGTTTATTCAAATTAATTATTTAGACCCTTTGCATTTCAACACACTTAAACCCTGGCTTTTAGTTTACTCGGGTTAACTATTCAGAACTCCTGCCTAACTTCCTTCTTTCACCAGGCCTCACTTACTTTTAGGGAAGACTATAAAATTTAACACAATTTTCATCAAAATTTCAATAAAAATGTTGGATGAAGAGTTCAGTTTTGTTTTACTTGACAACACAAATTTTTAACACTCTCTAAATAGCCTTGGAGACTATCCCGGAACTGTTTTGGAAATGCAAAATGTTATAAAAGTATTTTAAAAGTTTGGTGCATGGCTTCAAAAAAGCATAGAAATAGACCAAAGATAGGAATTTGTAAAAGTCATTTCAAACAATGGACATAAATAGTAACTAGTTTTAGTTCCATCTAATTTGGTGCTTATGGTATTGAGGATCCAACCTAGATACTTATACAAGCTAAACCTGTACTTTACCATTGAGCTACACCTTCCTCCCCCTTAATTTGGTATTGAGGTCTCTCTCCTGAGAGTAGCTTTACTATAACCTCCAGTCCTGCCCCAATTTGGTGGTGAATGTTTACAGTCTGCCTTTCTTTATCCTGGTGTATAACCCAATGTGTTAAGTGTCTGAAAACATGACTAAGTTTCTCTCACATGGCAAATGTGTACTGGAAGATTTCCTTAAGGCTCTTGTTTAACCTGCATCCATTTTACTCCTACTAAGACAACCACCCTAGGAGAGTCCTGACTGGAAGAAGTAGAGTTAGGGTCAATGTGTCAGTCAATTGAGATACAGAGAAGGCCCCACAATAAGACACAGTGAAGTTAACAGATGGAATCCTTGTTACTTATGGTTGTAGCCACTTTCTTGTGACTGGAACAAATATCACTATCTGACACCCACAATGTAAAACAGCAGTTTATTTTAGTTCACAGGTTTTTTGAGGGGTTAATCCATAGTCAGCTGGCTCCAAGGCAGAAACAGGATGACAGAGGGGCCAGTAGAGGAAAAGCTTCTCAACACATGGCAGCCAGGAAGGGGACAGAGAAGGAGGAGCCAGGGACAAGAATATACTGTTCCAAGTCATATCCCCAAGGACTTACTTCCAACCAGCCCCCACCTCCAAATGGCATAATAACTGAACTTACTACTAGATAAATTCACTGATGAGTATCCCAGTCACCATGATACAGTCACCCTCCAAACACACGAAACATTTGGGAGACATTTTAGGTGTGAATCATAACACATGTCCCACAGAGAAGAGGGCAATACACTTTAAAGGGTCAAAGATAAAAAGGGAGCCATCAGGCACATGCACAGTTAGCCACAGGTTAGGGAGCACGAGAGAATGAGTGACCTGAGTTCAAAGCCTTGGTGTTACTTAAGCAAGTTTCCCTCCCAGGCAGGTGGCCTTGTTAGAAAAACTGATGTCTAAAGTGGGATGGCATGGTGATGCAGGCTTGTAATCCCAGCACTCAGAAGGCTGAGGGAGGAGGATTGCCACAAGTTTGAGGCCAACTAAGTTACACAGTGAGTTTAAGGCCAGCTGAATTAAAGAATGAGACTGTCTCAAAAAACAAAACATAAAACAAAACACTGATAATCGAGGCAGACTGCAAATGTTGGTTATGATTTATAGCTTGTTTTCCTCATAGAGCTACCAGCTTATTTCATTGCCAAAAACCCATAATCTTCATTTTTTTGCCCCTTTGGGGCAGTGGAAATGAATCCCAGGGTCTTGGGCGTGCTAGGTGAGCACTGCAAAGGAAATGTACTTCATTATAATAGCCCATAAAATCACCAAACAAGCAAGGCAAACAGCAGTATGCCCCCACGAATGATCCATAGGCCCATTTGCTATATTATCTAAAATAGCCAGTTTTCAATAATAACGACAAATTACAAGATAAAGAGGAAAGTGTGACCACATATAAGAAACAATGGAGGCAACAGAAACCTCCTTTGAGGGCCTAGATGTTATATATTTCCCTAAGGCCAAAAGCAAACCATATTTAAGGAAATAAAGGAAGGCTTCCCTCATTTTTTGGAAATGCTACATTTATTATATTTAAAAAATACTCTTAAAGCATCTTAATTCCAGGAAACCCTTATTAAACTATTTTGAATGGAGCACAGGCCAGTTAATCTTGTCAACTTGACAGGATGAAGAGACTCCTGGAGAGATCATTGTATCAGGGGGAGCTTTATTCATCAGTAGACTGACTCACTGATGTTCATAGCTAAGTATGCCTTAGGATGGGGAGCCTGGTTGGAGGAGGTGGATCATTGGGGGTGTTCCTTTGGAGGATATATCTCTGGTGCTCTTCTCCTATGTTCTGCTTCCTAGCCACCAGGACATGAGCAACTTGCCTCTACAACCCCCCTCTGTGATGTTTCTCTAGAATCAACCAGTCATGAATCAGACCCTATGAAACTATGAGCCAAATAAACCTCTACTGGTTGTCAGGTATTTTGTCCTAGCAATTGAAAACTAATACCATGCAATACTATAGATATTTGTAAGGCATTTCTCGGTTGTAAAACTTATTGTTAATTTAGTTGATCTTATTCCAGATGAACTCAAGAATGCTTTTGTACACAATTCACTGTGAGAAAAATATATTTAAAAGTTGAGATTTTAAATGAAATTGTGTCAAAGAATAACCTTCCTATGAAAGGCTCTATCTTTTTTTTTTTTTTTTTTTTTTTTTTTCTTGTACCAGGGATTGAACTCGGTACCTTGCACTTTCGAGGCAGGGGGTGGCATCACTGAACTAAATCCCCGGCCCCAAAAAGCTCTATCTATCTTTATTCAACCAACTTTAACATGGAGGAAGGAACATGTGAAATTTATGTTCTTTTGGGTCATGTCCATTCACTACCACTTCCCTGTATCTAGTGATTTTGTCCTCACACCTGTTTTTTCCTGAATCACAGTGGGTGTCAGATGATGAGTATGACCGGATTTTCTGTTTAAAAGGCGTTTAAATTTAACTGGCAGTTTCTTCACTGGACAGCCCAATATATAAAAGACAATATATAAAAGCCGCCTGCACAACCCACCAGCAGCTAAAACCATCCGACCCGCGGATCTGGGTTGCTCTTGGTATCAAATCGGACCCAAACCTCTGGACGCAAATCCCGAGAGTGGGACGCGGGATCTCACGGGAAAGGAAGTCTTGCTGCCAGTGGCCAAACCTGCGCGGGTTCTGCGCATGCCTCTTGCCGCTGGCCGCCCCCACCTTCCCTTGTTTTCAATAGGCCTCAGCTGGGAGGCGGTCCTGGGCCGTCCAGCAGCAGCTCTTCCGGGCCCTGCAACACGACCGGTGGTGGAAAGGTGAGTTACAAAGATCTAAGCGAAGCGTCAGTGCTCAGAAGTGGGGAGGAACCTACGGGCCCCAGGACGGCGGCGACTTTGTCAGGAAGTGAGGCTGGGACAGCACAGGTTCAGCTCCAATTCGGGAGCTGAGGGCACTCTTGTTTTTGGGCGGGTCAGTGGGGAAGCAGGAGGAGCAAGTGTGCCTATGCGCCTGCCTTCCTTGGCGAAGAGATGGTGCCACCGAACGTCTGCACTTGCAGGATCTTGAGCCCTGTACCACGGGAGGGGCGGTGCTGCTGGAGAAGCGTGCGCTACGGGCTTCCGGGGCGTGGCCGCGAAGCGGCGGTCAGCCCAGTCTAGACTTAAGGGACCGTTTTGTTTCCCAGCCGGATTGCTCTAACACTCAGCAGGGCGCTTCCAAGAATTATCTCTTTTAATTTGGTAGAAGAAAAAATTGTTTTTGAAGGCCAGTGACCTTTTCAGGACCTCAGTTTGTTAATGGTAAAGACTTAATTTCTGATCTCTTGATTCTCAAGCTACAACTACTTTTTTCACGTGCGCAAAGGATGTTTCTTCTTATGAAACATACTTTTTAGAACAACACAATTTAAAGATACTAAAATTATTTTTTTCGTGATGGACTACTTTTTGTGTCCAACAGAAGTTCCCCCCCCCCCACGGGGATAGATCTCTGGATCTTGTGCTTGCAAGGGAGATGTAGTGCTACTGAGCTAAATCCCTGGCTCCTCAGTATTTTTTTTAAACAACAATTTTAGTGAAGTGGTAATGTTCTTCACTAGGAACATTGTTAACTTGTTAACTTGTTCCATCATTAGAAAGTATTTTCTTTCCTTTTTTTTTTTTTTTTTACCCCCCCACGGGGATAGATCTCTGGATCTTGTGCTTGCAAGGGAGATGTAGTGCTACTGAGCTAAATCCCTGGCTCCTCAGTATTTTTTTTAAACAACAATTTTAGTGAAGTGGTAATGTTCTTCACTAGGAACATTGTTAACTTGTTAACTTGTTCCATCATTAGAAAGTATTTTCTTTCCTTTTTTTTTTTTTTTTTAAATTCTAGGGATCGAAGTCGGGTCCTTGCGCTTGCGAGGCAGGCGGTGGCACCACTGAGCTAGATAGAACCCTGGCTCCATCTAATCTAATAGATTAGAAAGTATTGTTAACTTGTATGACCATTATTTTTGTTATATATATGTATTTGTGAGCATCATCTAAACTGTTAAAATCTGTAGGATACACCTATTCACATTTACCCAGTGAAAAATTTTGTACTCAAGAGCTACATGATTCTATTAGAGCCATATCAAGTGATTTTTCACCATTACCCCAATCCTGAAGTGTCAGAAGGACAGGGATATCCTCCTACAGAGAGCATTTTATCTGTGTGTGTGTGTGTGTGTGTGTCTGCTAGGCAGGACCGATCATTCATCACTCTGTCTTTCTTGTTCTGACCTATTTATAGCTCAAGAATTGTCTAAATCTTTCGAACAATAGCACAAAATGAATGAGGTAAGTTTGTTTATTCATTCCCCATGTTATTCTATAATGGACTTTGTGAGATTTGTAAGAGTTAGTATGTTGTTAGAAATTAGGTATATTGGCTGGGGTTTAGCTTAGTGGCACTGCACCTGCCTCACAAGTGCAAGGACGTGAGTCTGATCCCTGGTACCAGAACAACAAAAAAAAGGTATACATAAAAATCTAACTTCACAAAAAATATAAAGTAATAGATCTGTAGGAATATCAAATTGGCATATTATCATATAGTGATCAAATGATCTTAAGAGTCACTAAGCTGCAAATACATCTCAAATATTTTAGCCCACTGTTGGAGAAAGAAATACACTGTCTTCCATACAGAAGACTTACTCCTTTGAGGACAAAAGACTTCCTGGAAGATGACTTTTTTTGTTCATAAAATAGGGACACATGTCTAAAAACCTTCCAGTGGTAACCGTAAATGAATGTGGCTGTTACCTTAAACCAGTAGTGGTGAACCTATGGCGTGTGTAGTGGGCACATCACCCACCTTTCTCTAGCATTGCCCCAGCAGCTGAGCATCAGATTTTCAGGTTTAATTGCAGTATTGGCACTTTGTGATGAACAACTGGGTTTGGGGTTGCTGTTTGGGCACTCTCTCTAAAAAGTTTGCTGTCACTACCTAAAACTATTCTTCAGTGATGTTGAAAGAGTTAGAGACATGGTTCAAGTAATGTCAGTTTTTGTATCACCTTGTTTTATCCTGGTGTATAATTACAACATCAAGAGGAAGCAGTGGCCCATGTGCCTATATAAAAAACTCCCCATAACTGTTTCATTTAGCCAGGCAGTGCATACAGGTTGTGCAGAAGACAGTTTACATTTCATTTCTCTGATTAATATTTTTTAGCTTCTCAGTCACAATCCACATCTTAGTTACTTTCTCAATGCAAAAATGACACCCAAAATTTAAAGAAGGAAGGGTTTGTTTTGGCTCATAATTTGTCAAAGTTTCAGTCCATAGTCAGTGTGCTCCAAAACAGGGCAGTATTGGGGAGGGGCATGGTAGAGGGGAAACAGCTCATAGCACGGAGGTGGGAAGCAGAGAGCAATATCAAGAGGGGAACGAGAGAGCATCCTTCTATTACAGTTGATTGGGCCAGTAATAGTCCAGGTTCTTGTGTATGACAAGGAAAGAATTGCTAAGCAGATACCCAGTAGTAAGTAGTAAACACGTACATTTATTGATGATCATAGGAAGTTCTGTTTAGGGTCAGTCTGTGCCAACAAAGGCATAAGCCAGACCAAAAAGTGCTGGGTGACAGAAAAGCACTGCGTATGGGTCAGAAGCACACAGAAATATCCATAGCAAAGAAAAGGTTTGATAAGAGTCAAGTTTGACAGGGTGCTGTGAGAGCCATCTTAGGGACTGTTTTTTTTTTTTTTCTTTTAAGGCAGAGTCTTGCTATGTAGTTCAGGCTACCTTAAACTCACTATGTGAGCTGGCCTCAAACTCACGGCAGTCTCCTGCCTCAGCCTCCTGAGTGCAGAGATTACAGGCATTCACTACCAAGCCTAGCAATGAATTACTCTGCTAATATATTGTAATGAGTAAAGTTTGTCAATGTTTTACTTAGAATATTTAAATTAAAGTTAAATATGAACTGTTCTTGAGCAATGTTTTGTTTAGTATTAACTTTGTGATAGTTAATGAATACTTTTTTATACAATATTTAAATTACATTAATTATCATTTTAATGGCTGTACTTTAATTCTGAAAACATCTAGGTATGGTACTTTTTCCATGGTACATCTTCCAGCTCTTAAAAAAATTTTTTTTTTAAAACTCAAGGCCTCATACATGCTAGGAAGCAGTCTACCATTGAGCTACATTCTCAGCCCTAAGAGGCACTTTATAGCCCAGCAGTAAAGATGAGGCTTTGCTGTGTTTATTTTCTTTCTTTATTAATTGGTGTATTAGAAGCCCATCTCTTTGTAAGTGAGTATTTTTTTTAGTTTATTAAAATTTCTAAAGAAGCAACTACTTTCTATGGGCTTTACTATCATATTCTTTTCATTTCTTAGTTTCTGTGTATCCCAGTGCTTTGTTTTTTTCCATATGGCTTCATTTGTATTTTGTGCTAAAAAGGTGAACATGAATTCAGTTACCTTTGCTTTCTTTATTTGGCCCTCTGTGTTACCTATCTAATTAAATATTGCCAATCCTACTTGTATTTTGCTTATGTTTTCTGCTGAATTTTTTGTGGGGGTTCAGGGATCAAACTTGGGGCCTTATGCTTGTGAGGCATGTGGCAGAACCACTGAGCTAAATCCCTGGCCCTCTGCTGTGAATTTGATTTTCAACTATGACTTTCTTTTCACATTATCTTCTAAATAACTTATGCTGTAAAGTCAAGAATTTTTGTCATTGATAAGAAATTTAGCATATTCATGTGTTTTCTAATAGTATTTTGTGGAGGTTATCTGAATTACCCTGTGCTGCCAAGATTAGCCTCAAATTCCTGGGTTCAAGTGATTCTCCTGCCTCAGTCTCCCAAGTAGCTGGGACTAAAACTGAGTGTCGCAGTGCCTGGCAAGGATATTTTTAATATCCTTTATTGAGAGTTTTAATAAAAATTATAGACATTATTTGGAATTGATTATTTCTTTCTTGACTTGTGAGTTCTAAGTTTGAACTTAACTCTGTTAGCTAAAGTTTTGAATCAGTTAATACAGTCCTGCAATAGCTTTGTTTTGTGGGTACTGTTCCTGAAGAATTTAGATTTGAAATCTATAGGGAATACTTAACTTGAAGCACAATATGTAGCTGACAGTTGATAGCCTTGAGATCTCTTGAGTCTGAATATATGGGTCGTTGCCCAGTTTGGTTACTGAAATTGGAAAACTGCTCCCCAGTGAGGTTATCTGGTTTCTTCCATTAGTCTTTAGGGACCCACTGCAGTTAAAAATGACTCCGCAACATCTCTGCCTTCTGTTGCTAATTTTGTCATTGTTCCACCTTATCTCCTCATGAACCTATCTTATCATCACTGTACTCTTTCCACTTCAGATACTTGAGGATCCTCTACTTTGGTAACCTAGAAATATAGGTGCAACAATACATGGAAGATTTTCTTTGTCTTTTTCTTTTTGCAGTACCGGAGCTTAAACTCAGGACCTTGTATTTGCAAGGCAGGCACGGTGCTACTGAGCTAAATCCCTGGCCCTGGAAGATTTTCTGAATGTGTCCTTTATTTAGAACTTAAAAAGATATCACAGTTTCAAGCCTCATTCCTTTCAGAATCCATTAGTTGCACTCTTGCATAGCCCTGCTGGCTATGGATTTACCAGGAGTTAGTTGCTGTGGTCATTACATGTTTGCTTACTATTTTACATGTGCTGTTTCTCTCCTGTTTGGAGTCAGTTTTTTCTCTGAGGCATATCATTCATATAGTGAAGCATGTAAAGCTCATTCACAGTGATGTACTCTTCTTTTGTGTTGAGCACATGTGTACAGCCTAGTAGCCATCAGCCAGGTCAAGATATGAATGTTCCCTCAAGGTTATACAATCCAGTCCCCTAACATGGGTTCTGTCACTATTGGTTAATACTGTCTACTTCTGAACTCAAGTGCATTGAATCAGTACAAACAGTCTTACAGCAGGTGCCTTTCTTTCAGTATATATGAGAATTCTTTTACTATGCAGCACCAGAAGGAATGAACTTGTGGTGCTACATAGTATTCTGCTGCATGAAGACATTGTAACTTACTTAATCCATTTTCCTATTTGTAGGCATTTTATTATATTTTTGTTATCTTATATCATGTAAGTTTTTAGTTTACTATTTTGTATTTTTAGTATTCATTCCAGATATTACAATGTGCATTAACATTTTTGTCTATTTTAAATTAGTAATTTATCACTTCACAATGTAAGAGCCTGAGAACAATTTGACCCCAGTCATTTCTCATCTAGTGCTCATTGCTCATGCTGTGACACATTGTACTGTACTTATCGGAGTCATGATAGAGTCCAAAAAGCATGGCTATGGTTACAGTTTTTTTTCCAGTTTTCTGCATTCCTTTTGTTCTCCTATGCAATATCAGTTTCTTTGAGCTAAAAGCTGTAGCTTTTCTTGTTGTCTGTGTTTATTGTGCTATATTTTTCAGACTTTATCTGGAAGATACATTCATTTTAGAATATTTTCTACAGAATTTAGATTTTTCTGTGGTTTTTATTTAGCATTATAAAATGTACCATTTTGGTTTTCACATTTAGAAATTGCTAGCCAGGCATGGTGGTGCATGCCTATAATCCCATCACTTGGGAGGCTGAGGCAGGAGGATCGCTGTGAGTTCAAGACAAGCCTGGGCTACATAGTGAGTTCCAGTTCAGTCTCAACTACATAGTGAGACCCTGTTTCAAAAAACTAAACCAAAACAAAACAAAAATTTACAAATTGCTTGCTGGAGTTTTGCCCGGTATCTTCTGACTTCCATGTTTCTATTGAAATGTTTGCTTTATGTTTTGCTGTTGAGATAGCTTACCTTTTTGTTCACATTCATTCTTTTGATGTAAAGAATAAATGAGATATTTCTTTGTATAAATTTCTTTTCACGCTAGGAATAAGTTCTCTGTCATATATATATACATTATCTCAGTATGTGGATTGCATTTTTATTCTCTATGCGTTGATAAAGATGGATTGCTAACTTTAATGTCGTATAGTTAATTTATGTCTTAAGAGATTTTTGTCATGAGGTAAAATTTTATTGCTTTAACTTGCAAGTTTAGATCTCTACACTGTCAAGGTGGGTGCTAATCCTTAAGATAGAAATAAATATGAATTATAATTGCACTAGCACCATTTATCAAGTGATTGTTCTTATGCCCCCCTTGTCATGAATCAAGTGGCAATGCATGTATGTCTCTATGTTGGGCTCTGTTCCATTGCTACTTTTGAAAATTCTTGTGAGTGTTGAACATTGATTTTTGTCATGTTGATATTATAATACTTGATATATGACAGTATTTCTTCTGGTGTAGATTTTCTTCAAGATGGCATTGTCTATTTGAAATTCTTTGCATTTCCACATGTTTTAGCATTAGCTTGTCTATTGGCCATCAGAGTATCTGCTGGGAATTTGTTTGAGATTGCCATGAATCTGTACGACAGCATGGATAATGATAGAGAACTTTAATAGCAAAAAAAAAAATCAATGAAATGTCACAATGTAAAATAACTTCTGCCATTTGCTTTGTTTAGTTTAGAATCAGCAGGCACTGGAGACATCTAGTCTTGCTCAAAAGTTTTGTAAATGCAAAGAACCATTGTTAACTTTGCTGACCAGACATGCCCCTTTCCTCTGGGCTAGAATCCATGACTAGACGAATTTTAAAGGTAACCTCCCCTAATGAAAAGGTGCTACCTCTGGGTTGAAATTCAACTGTCTGGCCACCATGTTTTGAATATCAGCAATGTGAACTGTGAAAATAGAATGTAACTATCTGAATGAGATCAAGGCTGTAAAACCCTATAAAAGAAGGAGTTGTAGCCCCGTACTGTATCGATCTGGGCACTGCTTTATGTGGGATTGATCTTTGTCAACAAATAAATCTTTTTTTTATTTTACTTCCATTCTGCCGCAGCTCTGTGTGTCACTTACCGATTCCTTCCATGACAATAGAACTGATATTTTTCTCATATTGCGCCTTTTCATCTTGGAATTGGTTTAATCTTCCTACTTATTGGAGCCTGCTTTGGTTTCCTCATTGTATCTTATAGCTCTCTATGTAAATGTTGTATTTTTCATGCTATTATTAATTATAACTCAAAATTTAATTTTGCTGATAGAAATACCTAAAATTTGTTGTACTGAACTCGTAACTGTATCCTACAATATACTTTTATTTAAATTTTCTGTGTACATAATTATATCACTGCTCTAAAAACTTTAGAAAAATGTTGACTAGAATTGGGCATACCAAGCATCCTTATGTTTGTCCTAGTTTTTAACTTAAATACTTTCCATATTTTAATGTAAATGTGGTGTTTGGTGTAAGCATTTATAGAAATCTTTATTAAATTGAGGAAATTCCTTTTTTTGTCAAATAGTTTTTATGATACTTTTCTGTATCTACTGATATGATTGTATGATATCTACTGCTTTTAAAAACTATTTTAATTTCTACATTTCAGAAAATTCCTTATGATCTTCATATTGTTTTCTCTCTCTCTAAGCTAGGTACATGATGGTTTTCCCTCAAATTTTATTTGTACTTTCTGTCCTAAATCCTCTGAAAGTTTCTAATTAACTCTTCCAAATTGTTAACGTTTCTCAAATACTTATTTTGATTCTAACACTTCAGTATTGTGCTCCAGATCTAGCTCATGTAAGCCCTATCTTGCTAAAATACCACTCCAGTCTAGTGTCTTGGCATGGTTCACATGTATTGCCTGAAGAACATTTCCTTTCTGCCCCGTAAGTTGGTGACCACTTCTATCAACAGTGCTGTGTTTTCTTCCCAGTTTCTGCTACAGTACTTTGCCTAAGTGATGGTGTTTCATCCTCTAGTTGTCTTTGGCCTTTCTCAAGAGAATAGGTTCTATAAATAAAAACCTGGTCACATTATTTTGGTATGTGCTCACATCTCTCATCTGCCCTCATTTTGTATAACAATAATCCCTAAAATAGAGATATGCATTAGAGAGGATGTCCAAACAATCCAATTGCCTATCATCTGTGTACTTTACAGATTTCACAATCATAGTAGTTTCAGAATCCTTCCATTTTCTACACATCTTAATTGTCTCTGAGTCGAATGGTTAGCTCGGAAGATATACTACAGTGAAATAAAATGTTAGGCTGTGTTTCTGCTTTTTAAAATCCATATGAGAAATTGAAATGCATAATAAATGTATTGGTAATTTATTTCTATAATTTGTAAATGTAAATATTTTTTCTAAACCCACTCCACATGAGTTTCCTGAGTGCTTCCCTGGTTTCTTTTCTCATAGGAATGCCAGGCCACATCCTTCTGTCTTCCTGTGCGCCTTGCTGTGTTGCTGGTTACTTGAGCATGTGGGAGGGTCCCTGCCTTTGTGCCATGGTCCTATTCTTTTTTTTTGTTGTTGTTGTTTTGGTTTTTTTGAGACAGGGTCTCACTATGTAGTTCAGACTGTCCTGGAACTCACTGTGTAGCCCAGGTTGGTCTCGAACTCACAGTGATCCTCCTGCATCAGCCTCCCAAGTGCTGGGATTACAGGCGTGCGCCACCATGCCTGGCCATGATCCTATTCTTTTGGGAACAGAGTATAGTATTTTCTTCAGCCAGCTTCCTCACTGAAATTCAAAGTAGAATTAATTTTGCTCTTTATTTGTAGCGTTTGTCTGTATTGTGTGTCCTTTCATTTTAGCACGTGCAGCATACTACTATGTATACATATATTTCTTTTTGAGAGTATATATTCCTGAAATGAAAGACTTTTATTGATCTTATTATTTACAACAGCTGTAATAGTCCTACACACATTATGGGGACTGCTAATTTTTTTTTGCATGAATTAATACCTAATGGAGTAGCAGAGTATTCTAGTTAGTTCCCTTTCCCCCCGAAGTATGTGCCAGAAAATATTCTGTAAATAATTTTCATAACCTGTAAACAATAATCACTTTCGTGCTATACAGTGTATCTTTTTTTTTTCATGACACCTAATGCTGTACATTTCTGATTGAACAGAAATCCCAGGGATCAGTATCATTTAAAGATGTGACTGTAGGCTTCACCCAGGAGGAATGGCAACACCTCGATATAAGCCAGAAGTCCCTGTACAGAGATGTGATGCTGGAGAACTACAGCCACCTGGTGTCTGTGGGTAAGTGGTATATGTTATGTGATTCTAGTAGCATTTGTTTATCCCTTTCATTGTGAAGCATATGGGCACTGTGTAATGTAGTTATTTGAGATTCTGTTTCAGAAATCAAAGAGTGTCAATTGATTACTTTTCTGCACCAGAAGACATTTTTGTTCACTTCTTTCAGTGGCATTGTGGGTCCCCTCTGTCAGAAGTCATAATAGCCCAAGTCCTTAATCATGTCCCATTAACAGGGTATTGTGTGACAAAGCCAGAATTGATCTTCAGGCTGGAGCAAGGAGAAGAGCCATGGATGTTGGAGGAAGAATTCCCAAGGCAGAGCTTTCCAGGTGAGTTCATCCGTACTGTGCATATAAATACCAGGAGAGTCATTATTTACCTGCAGTTAATTCAGGGGCTAGCTACCCCCAAATTTTTTTCAAGAGTATCTCATTGGAGGACCTAACTCTTACTGACTTCTAAACCCAGCCTTCTAATGCCACTGTCAAATATTTTTAGATTCATTTAAAGTATTTTCTATTTCTATACCTGCCAGTAGTCCAATCTTTGCTCTTGCTTTTCTTGGCTGATCCACATTTCTCAGAGCCATCTCAGTTTCCCACTTTACCTTCATTGTTCTCTCTGCTTTCTGTTATCAGGCATTTCTTTCATACACTCATTTTTTGACTCAATTTTTGAGTTCTTGCTATGCACTAGTCATTTTTTGAGAGCTGAGAATATAGTGTTAAAAAAAACCCCTAAATACATTTATAGAATGTCTTACTTTTTTCTTCTTGCTGAAACAAATACCTGACACCCAAAGTTAAAGAAGGGAAGATTTATTTTGCTTCACAATTTGTAGAGGTTTTAGTCCGTAGTTGGCTGGTTACAAGGGAGAGCAGCATGGCAGAGGAGCATTACAGAGGAGAAACAGTCTGTGGTGTAGCAGGCAGAAGGCAACTATTGACAAATAACAAACAATATCCCTCTTTCTGTCCTTTATATTCTGTCCAGGCTACCCACCGTTAGGGCGGAGATCACTCATAACCAAGGTAGGCCTTCATATTATCCACACCCTGAATTGTGTCAAACCAATTAGTGGATTGATTTAGTAATCACACACTCTTCATCCCATGATTACACACTTAATCCTAGCATCACACACCCTAGATCTAGCCACCTCTGAAAAGCCTGTGACTGCATGAGGCTTTTGGGGACATCTAGATACAAGCCACAACATAAAAGTAGCACTAAAAACATAAAGATACTTGTGGTATATAAAAAGTTCTGTATGATAAAGACTATCAAAGAAATTAAAGCAAATTTAGATGGAGTGTGCTACTTTGAGAGAGTAGTCACAGTAAACCTTAATGAAATCAACATTGAAGCAGAAGCTTGAATGAAATTATGTGATCCATGAAGATTTTGCCTCTTTTCAACAGGGTTAACAGCAGTTGATAAGCTATGGGTGGGAATTTGGTTGGTGTATTTGAGAAATAACAGAAACAGTTACAGTGGCTGAAGAGGGTAGTTTAGGGAGGAGGAGCACCTGATGACAGAGAGGTAGTTATAGTCCAGAAGATGAGTGTAGTATCATAGCATTGTTAAATAATTTAATTTTCTTTGTGCTTTGTATAATTCTAGTAGCATTTGTTTATCCCTTTAATTATGAAGCACAAGGGCACTGTGCTTTATACTATTAATATTGGTGAATTTTCGGCAGATCAGCAGTATGTTTTATGCATTTAAGTTCTCTTTCAATTCTGTAGGGAAAATATTGGGAGGACATAAAGGCCATGAGAGTTAATTAGGGGACAACTGTATTTCTTCATGGAAATGATTATGGTGACTTAGACCAAATTGAAGGCATGGGGGTAAGAAGTTTTATTCCCTCAATGTGTAGAAAGAGGGGCAATAAGAAAAAGAGCTAACAAAACAGATAGGGGAGAGGCAGTGTATTTGAGGAAACAATGGCTGAAAACTTCCCAAATTTAGCCAAAGACATAAAATTATACATACAGGAACCTGACCTAATATCAAATGAGATAAATCCAATGAAATCCATGCTGAAGGCACATGGCGTTTAGATTTTAATCATTAACCACAGTTCATCAGTCATAATCAATGCATTGCATGTAGGGATTGGCAGCATGCTAGAGGGAAGCATTATCAGACAGAAGAAAGTGAGGAGAGAATGTGGCTGGTAAACCACCTCTAAAAAGTGGCTGGAGGAAGTATAGAAAGCAAATAATATAAGAATTCTTGGACCTTTAGAAATTGGAAGTTGGCAAGAGGGAGGGTAAATGTAATAGAACATCCTCATGACTTTTTTTTTTTAAAGGGAAAGGGATTTATTTGGCTTACAGTTCATAGAAGTTACAGTTTATAATCATCCAACTACCAAACAGGAATGACAAACAGGCATGGCAAAACAGGAACAACATGGCATGCCCAAGGCAGCAAAGGTAACGAGAGGAAAGGTTAACAGCATCTCTCTGCCCCTTTTATTCAGGGCATCTCTCTGCCCCGTTTATTCCTTCTCAGTCACACCCTTAGTCCCGGTGCCTCTGAACCTAGCATTGCATCATGAATCAATTCAGCTTCACACACTGTAGATCAATCCTGTGACCATGTGGGCAATATCTAGACCCAAACCATAACATTCTGCCCATGGCCCATTCCTTTATGCAAAAGGCATTTAGTCCATCTCTAAGAATTGCCAAGATTCTAACAGTTTCAGCATCACTGAAAAGTCCAAGTCCAGAGTCCCCTCTTAAGATTTAAGGCAAACTCTTAGCTGCAAGCCCCTGTACAAATGAAAAGAAGGTTAAACACTTCCAACATTCAGTCACACAAGATAGATGTTACCATTTCAAAAGGTACAAGCAGGAGGATACAAAGGAACGGGACTGATGTAAGTCCAAAATCTAGTATGCCAAAACATTGCACAGTTCCCCTTCTACAATACAAGGCAATCTGGCAAGTTGTGAACTCCAAAGAGCTTGGGTGACTCTACCCCTATGGCACTTCTGGTGGTTGTAGCTCCCATGGCTTCTCTCTTAGGCTGGCTATGCTCCCTCTTTGTAGTTCTCCTCAGATGATCCATGCTTCTGGCTTCTCCAAACTTCTGGGGTCTCCACTGTACCTTCAGCTTCACTCTTAGAGCTTCACACATTGCCCTCAGGGACACCCTGCCTGGCCTCCCAGGCATTCTGAAATCTGGATGGAAGCCTCCTTGACCCCAAAACGCTTGCATTCTGCTTGCACCTAAAACCATCACTGCATGGATGATGCCAGCGTCTGCTGCCAGCTGGAGCAATATCCAGATTTCCTTCTCTCTTGGCTGTAGGGGTTGAGTGCCTAGATTGCTAAGCACTCTGAATCCAATCCTGAGGAAAACTTTCTAGGCCACCATTTTGGAAAAACTTCCTTAGGTGACTGCCATGTTGGAACACCTTCCCTAGGTTGCCACCGTTCTAAACTTGGTATTCTGAAACAAAACAAAACAAAACCCCCAAAACACATGGTATTCTGGGGCTTTCTTCTCAAAGCAAAATATTTCACCTTTATAACTGAAACTGCAAAGGGTGGAGTCTGCTGTTTCCTGTGCTTCCCTCAAGCCATCTTTTTTATTCTCCTGTTCCTTCTCAGCAGTCAAGATCTCCTCTTCTCAGTTTTTGCAGTCCACTTTACTGGTGCTTCCTTTCTGGCCCAACTCAGAATGTTTTAAATCATTCTGATGGGCTTTTTGCTCTTGATTCTCAACATGGATCTGGCTAAAAGCTCCCAACAGTAGGCATGCCACTACCTCAATATTCAGCTGCCCTGAAATCTCTTTTGCAAGATTAATTAGTCCACCACCCCTAATCTCAGTGTCAGGCAAAGTCTCTGGACATGAGCAAAATGTAGACAAACTTTCTGCCAAGCCATGACACACATGATCTGGAGTCCAACAGCCATTGTAGTTCTTCCTAGCAGAAACTGCCCTATCATGGTTTTTATAAGCTTTCTCATCTTCTGAGCTCTGACCAGAATCTCCCATACAGTGTAGCCTAAGGTGTTCCAGCTCTACTACTTCAGCTGGTATTTCCAAATCCTCTGGCAAAATCCATGAACATGAGCAAAAGTCAAACTTTCTGTCAAGCCATAACACATACCTCCTGGAGTCCAGCAACCAGCAGTCCTTCCCAGCAGAAACCTTCTGAGCCTGGTCTCTGGTCTTCTGAGCTTTAACCAGAATCTCCCATACAAAGCAGCCTAAAGCATTCCAGAGCTGCTTCTGTAGCCAACGTCTCTGGATCTTTCCTAACTCTTCTCCTTTCCACAAGCCAATTCCAAAGGCATTATTTGAGCCACATGGCCAGGTAACGTCATAGCAATGACCCCACTCCTGGCATCAAATTTCTATGTTAGTTACTTTTCTCTCATTGTTGAGACAAAATACTAGCATCCAGAGTTAAAGGGGAAGGGATTTATTTGCCTTACAGTTCATAGAAGTTTCAGTCCATAATCAGCCAACTCCAAGGCAGGAATGACAAACAGGTATGGCAGAGCAGGAACAATATGGCACACACAAGGCAGCAAAGGTAACAAGAGGGCCTGCTCATGACTTTTTGAAATCATAGTTGAGGGTTGGAGGAAAATTTGCAGTATCACATGATTTGATGCTATGTATTGCAGAGGAAGTACTTGAAGCAGTTATATTTAAAAAGTAGGGAAGGGTAAAGACCTCTTAAGTGGAATTATGCTTGTTACATTTCATATGAAATTTTAGTAAACTGTAGTAAGTTGCACATGTACCTTTTCTTTCTTCCAGTCCTAGGGGTTGAACCCAAAACCTTTGCATTGAGCTACAATTTTTTTGTTTTGAATAGTTCGCACTACGTCACTCAGTTGCCCAGGGTGGGCTCACACTTTTGATTTTTCAGGCTCAGCCTCCCAGAGTGTTGGGGTTACTGGTGTGTACATGCTCAGTTGCACAGGTACATTTTAATACATAGAAAAATTACTAAGAACACCTTAGAAAGTGTATACTTAGAAATACTGAAATGTGTCAGTGGATTATAAAAAACAATAGGAAAATAAGAACAGATATCAGAAACAGAAAACTGAGTAATATTTATGTTAAATGTAAATGATCAAATATATTAGGTAAAGTACACACTGGCGTAGTAGATAAAACAAAAGCATTATAAAATAAATTATTGAAACTGGGTGTGGTGGCACATATCTATAATCTCAGTACTCTGGGAGGGCAAGGCAGGAGGATCACAAGTTCAGTCCTAGCCTGAGCCACTTAATGCCTTAGTGGGACCCTGTCCCACTAAAATAAAAAAGGGCTGGGGGTGTA